CAGATACCTCTAACAAGGCCGGGGGTGGGGGTCACATTCTCATATAGCTCTGACCCTCTCAGTCCAACGCTTTACCGTATTATTTGTCATATCAGTTGATCTTTGTTTTTTAAGATTAAAACTCCAGATGCTTATGTTTTATTTCGTGGAAAACGGGAGTGGTAAATACAAATTCTCCGCTAACTCTTACATAGATGTGATTTTATATGAGTAAAATTTGACCCTCACAGTCATAACCGAAGTCTTATAAGCGCAATATTATGTTGTATATATTAACACACAACATAGATAAATATTTTCTTAAATATTGTTCATAAAAAAAAAGTCTAGTTTTAATCATAAAAAAAAATCCAAACAAAACATGTAAAATATAGGCAAATCTGTATTCAAGTACAAATATATAGCGAAGGGTAATTCTTTTTCTTTATGAATTTATGGAAAACTTTCTTTGTATATCATTTTGCCTCCGAACTTGCAAATGAAGAAGAAAAAATCCTGGGGATTTGTCCCTCATTCTTTTCCATAGAATTGCAGTTTCAATTCACATAATTCTGTAATGTTTTACGCATCGTTATTGTCTTTCAATTTAACATAAAACGATTTAATATTTGTACTATATTCGAAGTCAACACCAAAAATCTTCAATTTTGCACAAGTACACGTCATCCTATCATTGTTTTATTTTGACTTTACGTTCTGTTTTTTTAACTTAACATTTTACTGTTTCATGCAAGACCAAACTTCTTCAAATTTACATCGTGTAGTTTCAAGTCAACACATTGTATGATAAGCCTCTCGTGACGTCATAGTGATATAACATCGTGCTATCTGAGCTCAACAACACGTACTTTCAACTGTACGTTGTGTAGTTTTGACTGAGCATATTGTATGGCAAGCCTATCGTGATATTATTATGATATAACATCGTGCTATCATAGCTCAACATCACATACTTTCAACTGTACGTTGTGTAGTTTTAAATGAGCATATTGTATGGTAAGCCTATCGTGACATTCAATTGATATAACAACATGCTATCTTAGCTTAACATCATCTAGTTTCAACTGAAAATTATGTAGTTTTAAATGAGCATATCGTGTGGTAAGCCTATCGTAACATTCTAATGATATAACAACGTGCTATCTTAGCTTAACATCACGTACTTTCAGCTGTACGTGGTGTAATTTTAAATGAGAAAATTGTGTAATAAGCCTATTGTGACATTATAATGATATAACATCGTGCTGTCTGAGCTGAACAACACGTACTTTCAACTGTACGTCGTGTAGTTTTAAATGAGCATATTGTATGGCAAGCCTATCGTGATATTATTATGATATAAGATATTGCTATCATAGCTCAACATCACGTACTTTCAACTGTACGTCGTGTAGTTTTAAACGAGCATATCGTGTGGTAAGCCTATCGTGACATTCTAATGATATAACAACGTGCAATCTTAGCTTAAAATCACGTACTTTCAACCGTACGGTGTGTAGTTTTAAATGAGCAAATTGTATAATGAGCCTACTGTGACATTATAATGATATAACATCGTGCTATCGTAGCTTAACATTACAAAATTTCAACTGTACGTCCTGTAGTTTCAAGTGAGCATCTTAGCTTAACACGTTGCATCGTGTTGTTTTAAGTCAACAAATTGTATGGTAAGCCTTTCGTTTCAATATAGTGGTGTAGCATCGTGTTATCTTTACTCTACATCATGTACTTTCAACTGTGCATCATGGTGTTTTAAATCAACAGATTGCATGATAGACCAATCGTAATATCACAATGATATAACATCGTACTATCTCAGCTCAACATTAATTAATAACAAGTCAGCACCATACATTTTAGCTATTCATTTTATTTGTTATCATAGCTGTCGATGTAGATGACTGAGCAGTATCCATCTGCAAGCTAACATCATGCAACGTCAACTTCACATCATGTACTTTAAACCCAACGTTACGTGTGTTTGACATATCATCACAACATCGTGACTTATCATTATACTATCACGACTAAAGCACTTGTCATTGCAAGTCAACATTGCACAGATTCAACTTAGCATATTGTAATTTAGAGTTAGCATTTTGATGACTCGATTCAACATCACGCTGTCTTAACTTTACATTTTAAGCTTCAGCATAACGTTTTGTAAATCTCTAATATATGACAGCTGAGGCTTTCCATATATAATTAGGGTAAACTGCTTGATGTCCAATTCGTTTTCGCAAATAATTGTCTTTAAATACATATATTTTTATCTCTCGGAATATGGAATAAAACAAGTACTGTCTTTTATTTCGGTTCGATATTTTGTTTAATTGTTGAAAAAACTGATGTTAACTTCAGCCGTTGGCCTGAGTGAATTAGTTTTTGAAAAGTCAATAGAACCACATATTTACATTATCAAATGACAATATCTTTCTCTTCCGTAATCTAATATACTGTATTACTAAATTATATTCGGATGACTAGTTCGATAATATCTTCTCTAGATCATTAATTGTTCGCAATTGAACAGCATATAATATGTTATTTACATCCGTAGTTATTTAAAAATCTCCATTATGTATTGTAAGGAAGGATATTGGCGTCACAAATAGATGCTTGCTGATTCTATATATTTCTGACGGAAATCCGGTTATTGGTTAAGGATAGAACGGTGGATAATTGGTCCCACAGTACCTTACAATAATTTAAGAACCGTTCATCCAATGCATTTCACATTTTGATGTGTTATTACTGAAGACAAAATAGAGGCCAGGTTTGATATTTAAGATTTTCACTTTTGCTGATCAAGAGTAAGGGTTCTTATTTGATACGGAAAATGCTTTCTATGCCGTTCAACTGTTCAACAAATAGGTTAATAAATTTGAATATTGTGTTTCTCATGCCAAACTAGAGATCAAGTTTGATATTGAGTTTTTCACTTTTGACGTTCCGAAGCTATTGTCCTTCTTTGATTAGGAAATGACACTGTATGTTGTTTCCTTACACGACTAATCAACTATTCAACAAATATTTGTTTTTACCTCAAACACAATGGATGCTCGATTTGAAGAGATATAATGACTTTTATAGACATACCTCATCCTGGGCCCGTCAATAGGGACGTGAAAAAAACCAAAGGCCCCAGTATGATAAAATGTAAGCCAATTCAATCGTCAAAATCAGAGAACTTATTTGTGCTAAAACAATTTAAAAAAATATATATATGCATTCAGCAATCCACCACAACCACTGCATAACAGGCTGCTGACTTGAGACATCCACATAAAGAATGTGAAGGGGTTAAACATTTTTTCTGAACTCATAAACCTACCTCTGACCTGGGACAATGGTGAAACAGCTGAACAAACTGTAAAATTCAGTATGTTATTTTTTATGACAGAATAAAGAATAAGTTTTGTATTGGCGTTTTTCACTTTTGTCGTTCCGACGTTATTGTCCTTCATTAAATTGAAAATAACATTTTGTGTGGATTCGGTCGATATCTTGAGAACGCTTGTTTTTTTTTTCGAGTTTTTCGTTCCAAAACAGAAGCCAACATTTTCACTTTTGCTGTAATGGCATTTGATAAATGCTTGAACAATGACACTTATGAATGTAAGAAAAGTCCAGTTTGCTGTCATTTTGACAGTCTATTGATTTCTTAAGGACATATTTTCTTTGTTTTCGTGTCTTAGTAAGAGTTCCTTTTGTGCAGTTTAAAAAAGCTTTTTTCTGTCTTGTGTTAGAAATCGTTTATTATTTTCAGATCCTTCTGCGCTCCATACGACATATCACATTTTATTTACGTTAATATTTACATTTTATAGTTCCTATAGATTGAATGACAAATTTCACGACATCAATTCTACAATTGATGGTCGGAAATTGTGCATACAGGCGCAGACGTCGCACTATTGATTTTAAAATGTATGGTTTATCGGTGTTTATTTTCATTTCTGTTAGAATTAGGAGATAACTGTATTTGTATTTTAAGCTTTGCCTTCGTAAACCGTAGATTGTACTGTCGCAAATTGATTTTACCTAGTGACGCGTAGCGGAGCTAAGTAAACGGATATTTGCGACAGTAAAATCAAGTTTTACGAAGGCCAGGCTTAAAATACAATACAGTTATCTCCATTCTAATGCCACATACAAAAAAAAATCCATTTTAGTAAATATTTTGGCTTAAAAATGCCATAAATGAAAAAGTCCGCAAAACTGTTGCATCGTCTATGGCATCTAAACAATGTGATGTCATATATACTCTCGATGTCAAACATAAACACTAGATGTATTTATACTTTTCGTACGCTTCTGAATGGTTTAAGTATTGACGAAACAAAGATTTTGAGGCACAAAATGTGGCACTTTTTTGTTTGTTTTGAGAAATAACATACAAATAAAATTCAGAATTCAAAATGGTGGTTTTCCTTAGTTACGGACCGGTTAACGTGGAATCTAACCCTTCAAAATATATGTCAACGTCCGATGAAAATTATCGTTATTAACGAATTGCATCAGAATGGTTATTACAGTATTGCATTCGAAGTTTTGGAGGCACCAATTTTTTTTTATGGTCGCAAATTTCCGTTTGAAATTTTTTGGACTAAATTCTCCACCATCTGTCATTATAGTGCGACGCTATATATTGTCACGTTCATCAAACTTTGAAATATTCTAATATTTATCTTACATTTATGATTATTTTGTAAATGCTAATGTAAAGGTGATGAAGACTCTAACATATAGAAAACGAATTCGCCAAACGAACGATAAAAACAAGTTATTTAAATATATGTACTTAGACAAGAAAAAGATCAACATGGTAAACTGGTGTTGAAATATAATAAAGAAAAAAAATTAGATGTCATTGGGTATAAAGAATGTCATATAGATAAATAGAATTAGGAACCTGAGAGAGAATAAGTATGCATAGAATTATGGCGGTAATGCCCTCTCGTAGTTTTGACGAAGTTTCAAGACTGCCAAATATGATAACATATAATATGAACTGATTGAAATCGCATTATGTAAAATACTAATGGTTCAGACTAAGACCGTAATAAAATTGCGAATGAATTAAAACTGATTCTTTCATAATTGAGGAATACGTTCTCAGTGTGTCGAGGATAGAATAACAATGTCTGCAACCAGTGGTAAGATAAGAGAATTGAAGTAATAGTTTGCATTTATCACGAATGTTGACAAGACATTTATACATAAAATATAACTTTAAGTATTACTAAGTTTGATTAATTTAATTAATATGATGTACATTTTAACTTTTCAGAATATCTATTCCACTTTCTATTTTAATACAATACAATACAATATTTTTTTAAACCTATTACGATCCACTGAGGGCTTGATTACAAAACTTCGAAACTATTATTTCGGATATAATAACTTAAAAACTGTTAAATTATGTTGCAGTTACAAGTAGGTTTATTCAGATCACCTGGTCCAAAGTGCCAGTGTGAGATTTCCCCATCACTTGGCGACCGTTGTTAACGTCCGTGGCAGTCCGTCGTTGTCCGTTAACTTTTACAAAACTCTTCTCCTCTGAAACTACTGGGCCAAATTTAAGCGACCTTGGCAACAATCATTATTTGAGTATTTAGTTTAGAAAATGTGTTGACCCCGCTTGCCAACTAACATGTCCACATTGGCTAAAAATAGAACACAGGGAATGAATGCAAGTTTTGTCTATTATCTTAAAAACGCAAGAGACAGAGAAATTCTGACAAGGACAGAATTGTTCAGAATGAGAAGATGTACCTTCTGTTCTATTGTATCAAAACCGTCAGACGACTTCTTATAGGCGTTATTGACCTGAAATGACGATTTTACGATGTTACGATTTTTTTTTTTTTTTTTTGCGTTTTGCCTTTTATCTTGAAAACTATATTAGATAGAGAGAAACTTTGCCTACAATCTTAAAAACTATAATAGACAGATAGAAACATATGGTCAGCAAGACAAGATCTACAAACAAGTCAGCATGACTGAAATTGTCAGTCGACTTCATATTTTAGGAATTGCATTTAATGACGATTTTTACCAAATTTTCACGTTTTTTGCCTAATATCTTGAAAACTGTAATAGATAGATAGAAACTATAAGTAATAATAATGATCAGCAAGACAAGATCTACATAAAAGTTAAACACCCGAAATAGTCATATGACTCTTTATAATAGTTATTGTCCTAAATAACGATTTATTTACCTTTGTTATGTTGTTAGTGTCTATTATTTTGTAACCCTAAAAGATAGAGAGAAATTGTATTATAGCAAATAGGGTTCACAAGTCCAGATCTACTAATAATTCGATATTGCTGAAATTGTTGGTCTTCAGTGACAATTTTTCCAATTGTTTCAGGTTGTTTTTTTTTTCTATCACATTGAAAACATTAATAGACGGATAGAAACTTTAAAAGCAAAAATGATCTGCACACGATCTGCAAACAGCTGGTACGCATAGATGAAATTGTCAGTTGTTTTAGGAGTTATTTCCTGTAAATAACAATGTTTACCCTTTTTGTGTTTTGGGCAAATACTATGGAAGATAGAGAGAAACTGTAAACAGAGAAAAAATTATCAGCCATATACCTAGGTTACCGACACAGGTTCTTATTTTAGAGCCTCTAGCTTCTCTACTCCATCTTCCTCTCTTTCTTTCCTGTCCTCCTTTTTTATTTGGAAAGGGAGGGGGGTTTAAGACATATGATTTAATTTCCCCTGGATTTGTTTTATTCACTTGGCCACACTCAGATAGCTGTTGAAACCAACTAGAATTTGGAAAGTGCCACCATCATACGGCATGATTTTTCAACAATTATGCATGTATCGTTAGGATCAAATGTTTCCCAGCTTTAAGCGTTGTTGTTAAAGACCGTTTGATACAAAATTTCAAGTTTTAAATGCTTTTGTGAAATTTGCATCAAAAGACACCCGTAAAAATAGTTTGTATCTGAAATACAATTCATAACTGTACTTCCCAAACGATATTCGTTTTGCTTAAAATTGTTCTGTGCAATACATTTTGGGAGATAGACACTAAAAAAATCCAATTATAAAATAATGGTATGTGGGTGTCGTACAAATGTATGATAAGACCAAAGGACAAAATATTTACCAACTGCTGGTCACCGTGCGGCATTCAACATTGAGCTAAACTTGTTCCGTATATATAAGATTTATAGAAAGATGTAAAAGGCTCCGGATGACAAAATATGTGAGAAAACTAACGATCATGATTTAAGCTTGAAACAATATACGTAAAACAATAATGGCAGACAGCAATCAACTATATACTAATGACTCGGGACAGAACAACAGTAAAAATCATGCATTTAGAAATAGATTGACTAGTCTTAGTATATCGCTACTAAGGAGAAGAAACAAGATGACAAAAAAGCACAAAGTGTCGATCTAAGAGTACTCACAATTAATGAAAGCCAGGTTAAAACTTCTAAATAGACACAAACTAAAATATAAGCCAGTACACATCCAACAGCTTTAGTGTATAGACGTCGATTGTGTCATCACTAAAATTGTACTTTCCATGGGCAACACGACGGTGCAACATGACTATGGAGGATATGCTCTTCCTTACGAAGTACCTGATATCACCACCGGCATTCCAAAATTATATTTATTTTCAAATAAAATGCACCATCTATGAGTGTACGTGCTAGCTATGAAATAGGAAAATAACGAAAAGCTTGAATTGACTCATAATTTTATGGTAATAACATCTTATACGGTCAGGTATTTCACATTCAATATTTTATGGTAATATTCTTTACAAAGCACAAAAATTTCGGCATTCACCTCAAAAGCTAACCAAACCTTTAAACAGATTTTTTCGGAAAGGATATAGTTACGATACTGTTGTCAAGTCATTAAGGATTGCATATTTTGGTATTAATATTGATTCACTCATAGGGTCTTTGCATCGGAAATAAACATATTTATTCTAAAACCAGTTGTTGGCATGATACGGGTTATGTTTTTCTCATATATTTTATGATGGTATGATACTAAACTTGATTTTCATATCATGAAGACATAATCTTTCAATCAGTTTAATTGAGGTCTGGAGCTGGCATATCAGTAACTGCTAGTAGTCCTTTGTTCATTTATGTACCAGACTCGGACTTCTTTAAACTGAGTTTTACTGTGCGTATTGCTATGTGTTTCTTTATTCTACATTGGCTAGAGGTATCGGGGAGGGTTGAGATCTCACAAAACAAGTTTAACCCCGCCGCATTTTTGCGTCTGTCCCAAGTCAGGAGCCTCTGACCTTTGTTAGTCTTGTATGTTTTTTAATTTTAGTTCATTGTTTAGGATTTTAGTTTGACGTCAATTTTCACTGAACTAGTACACAATTTTATTTAGGGGCCAGCTGAGGACCACCTCCGGGTGCGGGATTTTCTCGCTGCGTTGAAGACCTATTGTTGGCCTTCGACTGTTGTCTGCACTTTGGTCGGGTTGTTGTCTCTTTGACATATTCCCCATTTCCATTCTCAATTTTATAAACATGTAGCCATTAGAACTTCTTGCAAATCATTTTGTCCTAATATGATTGAAAAAGCGTGTGTACATTGTTGTCCAACGCATTTAGACCACTCGACCAACATGACCAAGTAGGCTATATAAATATAAAAATTTTGTTAAACTAGTTGATGTTTTCTTCATAAAAATAAGAAGATGTGGTTTGATTCCCAATGAGAATTGCCAATGAGACAACTCTCCGACAGAGACCAAATGACGTAGAAGTAAGCAACTAGAGGTCATCGTACGGCATTCAACAATGAGCGAAACACATACCGCACAGCAATCTATAAAAGGCCCCGAAATGATAATTGTTAAAATATTCAAACGAGAAAACAAACGGCCTGATTTATGTACAAAACAATAAACGAAAAACAAATTTCATATACAACAACAAGTGACAACCACTGAATTACAGACTCCTGATTTGGGATAGACACATACAGAAGGTGGCGGGGTAAAACATGTTTGCGGGCGCATAACCTTCCCTCTAACCTGGGAAAGTGGTGTAACAGCACAACAAAAGAACAAACTATAAAAATAAGTTGAAAAGAGCTTACCTCAACAGATCGATACAACGCACAAAAACAACTAACAAAAAGTTCAGATCCTAGAGTAATCGCAGTTTTGTCGACTTTATCTAATATTGAAACAGAGTACGTGATTTATTGTGGCATGTAGGTGTAATACCACCATTGATTTTCCCCTATTATTCTTTGTTAAATTTGCACTTTTCAAAAAATTGTGCAGAATTTATCTTTGTTTCAAATAAAGAAATACTTGGCATGACTGAAGTTTTATCCTGTCAAAACATTCACATAACATTCCATTGCATATAAGAAAATAACCATCACTGGAATTTAACCAATCAAATTTACGACCCTTTTTTTCCTGTGTACAAGCTTTAGTAACCATGTAATCTCAAGTTTCCAAAATATTCTATAGAAACACCAAATAAAAAAATAATGGTGCTTTGAAACTCCCAAGATATATGTTTATGACTCAGAATTTTTTTACTGCAATGAATTGTAGAATTAATTTCCGACAACTGTCAAATTCAAGGGAATATTTTTTTTCGACCCTTTTTCGTACGCAACCGGATGTGACGTACTATGATTTGGTGGTATTACACCTGTAGATGGAATACTAGTAACTAGCAGATCAACCGTTTTTGTCTGTTGTAAATGATGATTTCCATGCAGTCAACCGATATCATTTAGTGATATAAGTTTGAATATGTGACCTTAAATTATACAGGGTTATCACCATCAATTGTGTTAACAATTTGTAATGCCTTTGAAATCTAGCCGAACAATCTTAGATCTGCAAATTATTAGGTATTACTTCTCAGCGGGATTTGAACCCATGCTTCTGTGACATCGGGTCAACACCTCCTACACTGTTTCCGACGCCTAAACCACTATCTATTTTTTTAATTACTTTATCTATGAATAAAAGAGATGTTGGGTATTCGTCAATAAGACACATATCAACAATACAATACATATCTCAATAGATATAGCTTTTTTGTACAACTGCTATCTTTGAAGAATACAAATGTCCTTATAATATGTCAAGCTGTTTATCGACGAGAGTCGCGAAAAGTTGAGAAGAAATTAGACTAAGTCTGCTCAAGACATGCAATCAATCCCCAATCCTTTAAAATACAAAAATATTAAGATATAACTAAATGCAACCATTGCAGAGTTGATTCATCTGATTGTTTATTCTAATGCAATTCGTTTGTAACGATAATTTTAATTGGACGTTGACAAATAGTTAGATTTGGGTTAGATTCCACTTTTTACCAGTCCGTAACTAAGAAAGCAACCATTTTGAATTCCGAATTTTTTTGGTTTGTAATTTCTCAATAAATAAACAAGAAAGTCACGTCTTGTGCCTCAAAATCTTTTTTTGTCAACATGGATCCATTCAGAAGCGTACGAAAAGTATAAATACGTCTAGTGTTTATGTTTGACATCGGGAGTATACATATGACATCACATTGTTTAGATACCAAAGACGATGTAACAGTTTTGCGGACTTTTTTCATTTATGGCATTTTAAGCCAAACTATTTATTAAATGGAAATTATTTTAATATGTGGCATTAGAATGGAGATAACTGTATTGTATTTTAAGCCTGGCCTTCGTAAAACGTAGATTTACTGTCGCAAATTGAGTTTACCTAGCGACCTGTATAATTCTACTAAAATTCCGATTGGATTAGATTAATCGGCTTGCCAAGTACATTCATGCTCATATAGACTAGTGACATTAACCATAAAATGTATGTTTAATGTACCCACCTGGCATACGGCAAAATCATATACCATCCGAAAGCATATCATTTGTACTATCTGGTTTGTCCGGTCGTCAAATGTTCGTACGGTTAAATTAAATTTCTGTCAAATAACGATGAAAGGTCAAGGACGGGCAATTTCTTATTTTACAAGATGCCAACAATATTTGCATATTCTGTCTACTGAATAACAAAATGACACACTTTAGAATATTAATGACGAATTTATAATAAAGAGCGCTTTTTCCTTTCCAGAAATTCCAGTGAAAATGAAAAAAAAGAAAGGAATGCAAAACATTTGTCTGTGATTTATTTGTTAATCACCATAAAACCAAACATATTTTATTTATAGTGCTAAGGAAGTTTTTAACATCATTAAATAACTATAATCACGCTTTTTGCTAATTAAACAGCCAATCATAAAAAGTCATACAGTTGCCTAAAATATCACCATCTGCGAAAAGGTAACTTTTTAGCTGTTCTACGTTAACACATTGTTTGTAGTCAATATAAGGTTGAAGAAACACAATTCTTAAGAAGGCAAAAAAACATTTAAAGTTAATAATTCACCGGGATTTATGCTTTTAGGGGGAATTTAGGGAGCAAAACTTTGATATTTAAATATGTATTTTACTTGCCAGCATGAGGAAACATCTTCATCTTAAACATGTACTGGCATGCTGTCAGTAACTGCTAGTAGTCCTTTGTTAATTTATGTATCATTGTCATTTTGCTTAGTTTCTTTTGTTACCTATTTTGACATCGGACTCGAACTTCTTATAAACTGAGTTTTACTGTGCGTATTGCTGTAAACTTGTTTATTCTACATTGGATAGAGGTATCGGGGGAGGGTTGAGATCTCACAAAACATGTTTAATCCCGCTGCATTTTTGCACCTGTCCCAAGTCAGGAACCTCTGGCCTTTGTTAGTCTTGTATGTTTTTATAATTTTAGTTAATTTATATGTTTTGGAGTTTAGCGTGACGTCCATTTTCATTGAACTAGTACACATTTTTTGTTTAGGGGCCAACTGACGCCCGCCTCCGGGTGCGGGATTTTCTCGCTGTGTTGAAACCCATTGGTGGCCTTCGGCTGTTTTCTGCTCTTTGATCGGATTGTTGTCTTTTTGACACATTCCCTATTTCCATTTTCAATTTTACTAGTGTCAAATTTAAAACTAATTAATAAAATGTTGAAGATTGTGTTGAACATCTGCGGCTAAAATGATTTTCAAATCGAACTGTAATTGCCTGTGTTGCCTATTCCATTATGGATGTATGATAAATGTTTTATTTAGTAGAGAAGGAGCGTTTGTCCGAAAACTAAACATTTAATGCGACGCTCATCGAACTCGAATTATTTTTCTGAGATAAGCCCGTGTAACAAAATTATCATGACGTTTTATAGAGTCGTTCTAGGAAGTCGGTTATCATAAACTAAGCTAGATATTGTGATTATGATTTGAGAATTATGTTTGACGCATTATGTTAAATTGTGTTGATAAAAAAATACATCAATTTTTTTCTTCTATTCCAGGGACTGTGAATGATTCAGACTTTGAGGAAGTGGCTAAAATGCAAAGTTTATTAGAAAGGTATGTCGATTTGCTGCTAATGTATTTTTAATGTCACATCAACTTGTTATCGTTGTCAAATGAATTAATGTATTAAAACAATATTGATGGATAGTGATTCTCAACATTCACGCCACACGATGGGCTGTCATTCAGTTATTTGAAGAAAAAAATGCTAAATTCAAATGTAAACTTCATTCAAAATCGATTGCTTATTGATTCATTGAAGTCCTGTGGAAAATATTCTATGCGTATTCAGGAAGATCTTATAGTTTGTTATGTTTTACTTGCGAGGTCATTCTGTTCGATACTAAGTGATTTACTAGCATACACTTCAGTGTGTTGAAGGGTGTATCGAGGATTATTGAACATTACTAAAAACTATACTCGATTTGGCCTACATTTCAAGGTTCAGATTTCAGTAAAGACTGAAAGTTTTATTTTTGATTTCAGTTCTCAGACACTCAGTTACATACACGAATTAAACGCAATATAGCCCGTGTGAACCAGTTGATAATTACTAAACACCGTTAAGGTGAACGTTGCATGCTTCAGTATTTCTATTGTACAGTTAAACTAGCAATCGGTGGGATTTTTTTTTTTTTTTTTTTTTTGGGTGTGGATGAATCCACTGAATGATTTAAGCGCATTAGTCCAATTATGACCTACATTTTCAAACCATTTGCATAGAAATTTAAGTTTACTTCCTTCCTAGCTATATTAGTCTAAGGAAAAACGAAATGAGATCATCAACTTTGTGAAAGTGAACTATTTATGTTTTATTTGAAAGAGGTTGTTCATTTCCCTTTCATCAGTATCATTTCATCACGAGTTAGTTGACCGTTATGGAATATCTGTTTTACAGATTACGACGAATATGTTTAAATGTAATTCCCACAACCCCGTCTTCTTTTCCTCGAATGTGACCTACCGATCTAGACTAATCACCGGGTTTGTACTAACACGACGGGTGCCACATGTGGAGCCAGATCACCTTCACCTTGTGGGGCACCTAAGAACACCCCCGGTTTTTGATGGGGTTCGTGTTGCTCAGTCATTAGTTTTCTTAGTTGTGTTTGTTTACTGTTGTTTGTCGTTTGGTCATTTTTCGGTTTTCGCCATGGCATTCTCTCTAGATATTTCATCCATTTAACATTGGTTACTTTTTTCTTTCAAAAACTATGAAAAAAAAACTGATTTTATAAGATTTTCAAATATGGCATTTTAAACTATAATTAATGAAATTATGAAAAAGTAGGAATTAGCATTGGATTAAGAAATATTTTCAGGGATAGTATTTCACAGGGAAATATTGTCATGGACAAAATTTTACAGTGAAATATTGTCATGGACAGTATTTGATAGTGGAATATTGTCATGGACAGTATTTAATGTGAAATATTGTCATTGGCAGTATTTTATGGTGAAATATTGTCCAGACGGAGGTGACAAAATTTCAGGGACAAGGACACTATTTCATAATTAAATATTGTCGTTGGCAATATTTTATTATGAAATAGTGTCCGTGGACAAAAGATTAGATATAATTTTGTCCAATGGACAATATTTCATGGGGGACATTATTTTTTGTTACAATAACAGCTGTTTTTAAAGAAAGTTCAACAATCGATTGTTTCCTAAATAATGAAAAAGGGAATTCAGCCTATAGCTATATTGTTGTGTACATAGTTAGAATGAAATGCATCCTCTAATGTAAATTAGTATGATATCATACCAATGTTCCAATGCTTAAAGCTGTTGATATTTGATCCATTTCTGGTTACCTAAGACATCAGACAGAAAACAGTTTGTTAACTAAACTTCTGCAGTATGTTCTGTATGATATCGTCTGTCATGTTGATTCATTAAATTTGAAAATGTAATTTATAATGTAATTAATTACTTTTCAAAATAAACTGTACTTTGATTTATTTCATTCTAAAAAAAATAGTAAATGTAATTGTTGTTGAATTAAAGCTTTTTGCAACGTAATTGAAATGCATTAAATTACTTTTGAAAGTACTTAACCCTTTGTTGCACGAGAATAATCAAGCGTGAGTTCAGACAACGATGTGTTGGATTTGTGGTACAAAATAAGGAGACGACAACGTGAGAGACTACTGTCACTATACTGGGGATTAAAAAGGTGCAGCATACAACAACTGCATCTTGAAATACAAGGTAACACAATTCTTTCCGGTAATCTACCAAAAACTGAAGACTGGATATGACAGCAATCTCTTCGTAAGAACATGGAAATAAATGAAGGATAGATCACTTTCTTACCCAAAACAAAAAAAAAAGATACCTCTCCTTTCCACAGTCGGACGGAATTGATGGAAAGATGGAAAAACTTACGCCTCACCGAAAGCATGAAACTCACAAATATAAGCCTATAGAAACTGTAAAAAAATACCCAACCTAAACATGCTTAAAGCATTCATAGAAGGACCCGTTGACCCAGAACTGTACAAAGCGAAACAGCACAATTCGGACAATTGTAGCAATATCACCTTTAGAACAGTTTGGACGTGCGGTAGCTAGATTTTGAATTCGGGGTCTATTACATCAAAACTGTGGAAATAGACAAGAATGCAAGAGTCAGGTACCTGGCCCGCACCAAAACTAAGGGTGAAAGACTTCCAGAGTAACGGTTTTGGAAGATTCTGGACTGCGGAGAAAACTCGGAGTTAAATCATCAGCTGGAAAATTATAAACACTTTGCGCAGACCACATGTATGGCATTGACATGCAGAATGCTCATCAAACTTTACTGTGCATGTACTGTCACGAAACATGAATTCTGCCGGACACGACGCCTACATTGCCGATAGGGAGGATTTTTTTTGCTAGCCTGGTGACTTACGATCGAAATAGTCTGCTCGAAGCAAAGATATATCTTCTGAATATTTTTAATGGTATTAAAGTAACTCTGCATGAAACGCTAACAGTGACTCATGGATTACTTCGTTGGCATGCGAGCACTGATTGAGAAATTGGTAGAACTTAATCCCAAATTACATGAACTTGTGACTCGATCCAAAGAGAGGAAAGGGTATACTACAACAACGGGGGCACCATTTGACCTATGCCATGTGCATCCTTCAAAACAAAGCATGAATAGCGGCATACGATTACCTGGCCGAAGACATGATTAAAAAAAGATTGTTGGTGCTAATTAGGTTGATGATTCGTTAAAAAGAGGTATCACGCGACAGACTGGTCCTACTTCTTTATGATTGATCTCAGAAACTAAAACAGTTCGTTTGGTGTGAAATCACGTCCACTGTTTAGGAAAATGACTGAAATAAAAAATAAGTGCAGATGACTACGAACATGCAAAGCGATTGTGGAAGAAAGGAAAATAACCATCATGTGAGAATACCACAAACGGTACTTGAAGATGGATATAATCCATGTCTGTGATGTGTTTTTCGGAATCGCTGCCTCAAGAATCATAGACTCGATCCGGCCTGATACTACACAGCTCAATATTTGGCCTACGACGCAGCACTGACAATTACCGAAGTCAAACTAAATCACGTGGCGAACCCAAACAAGTTTATGATCGAGAAGGGGATAAGAGATGGGCTTACCATGGTGTCACAAATGTATGCCAAGGCTTACAGTCCGTTTTTGAAGGGTGTGACAGCTTTGAACCAATTAATTATCTCTTGTACCTCAATGCAAACAATCGCTACGTTTTTACAATAAGTAAGTACCTCCCGACTGATAGATTCGAATAGAAATAACGGGAAAATGACGGTCTGGGATGTGTACTGATTTATACTTAAGTCTGGGAGAACATGATTTACTTATTTATTAGTTGTAGTTGGCTGTGAACTTGCTTTCAGTAAATGCGAGTACACTTATTTTGGTGCTTTGTGTCTATTGTTTTTATGTTAGTTGTTTTTGTGCCTCGTACCGATCTTTTGAGTTTTCAACTGATTTTTACAGTTTGTTCTTATGGTGTGCTGTTAGACCACTTTCCCTGTTTAGGGGGAGGGTTGAGGGCTCACACACATATTTAACCCCGCCACATTATTTATGTGCATGTCCCTAGCCAGGAACCTGTTGATCAGTTGGTTCATAGATATAGGAAGATGTGGTATGAGTGCCAATGAGACAACTCTCTATCCAAGTTGCAATTTATAAAAGTAAACCATTATAGGTCAAAGTACTAGTGTAAAACCATTCAAACGGAAAAACAAACGGTCTAATCTATATAAAAACGAGAAACGAGAAACGAGAAACACGTTTGAACTACATAAACAGACGACAACTACTGTAATCAGATTCCTGACTTAGGACAGGTGCAAACATTTGCAGCGGGATTAAACGTTTTAATGACACCAAACCTTCTCCCTTTTTCTGAAACAATAGTATAACATCACAACATAGAAAAACACACTATAAAATATGTCTGTCATATTTGTCATTCGTAAATTTTTTTTTTTTTTATAATTCAGGCCATTAGTTTTCTCGTTTAAATTGTTTCACATTTCTCATTTCGGGGCCTGTTATAGCAGACTATACGGTATGGGTGTTTCACATTGTTGAAGGCTGTACGATTGCCTATAAATGCTTACACCTACTTCATTAAAAGTTATTTAGATAGTTGTCTTATTGGCAATCATACCGCATTTCTATATTTTTATCTTGGATAGCCTATGGAAAGACAAAGAGCAAAGGAACCTTCCTGGAAGTACTTCTTGAGTATCAACAGGAGCTTCTCCATTAACTCAATGACTAACTACTTGCCCTGGAATCTTCGGAGATCAATGGATTTAATAAACTGGTGGCCAATCTTTGGGACAGGGAAAACTACTAGGTACTTTGCTTTAACTTGAAGAGGAACCTGGCTCGGGGGTTGAAACTTTGGAAGATATACAAATTCATCAAGTGCAGCAAATTCAGCGACGTCTTCGATTGAAAAAACACAAAACAAGGATCATCAACGATGTTTATTCACACTAAAATCTATGACAAACGGGATGATTTCAACTTCCCAATTATCAATTTCCCATTTCTCAGCAGTAACATACCCTCTGCTCCGTCATATGGTGTTTAAATATCTCAATTGATACGTTATGCTCGAGCATGTTCACACTGTACTGACTTCATATACAGGAGTGTGCTCCTTACGCAGAAACTGCTTCAACCGAGTTATGAGGAGGAAAGATTAAAAATGACACTCCGTAAATTTTATGGACACCATCACGAATTGGTTGATCTATACGATGGCGTCTGTGTCTAAACTAACTAAGGACATTTTTACCACGTCTTAGATTGTGGTTTGACATCTCTGTCATCTGTCTGCTAAGTACCGAACGTGACCTATTCTCGAATATGACTGTTATACCGAGTATGAATTTGCATTGCTATATGACGTGTCTCGGTATTTTGTACATCCAACATTCATGTATTTATTTTTGAAGTTTTTGTTATGGTTTCGGTTGAATAATGTTTTATGTCTTATCGTTTGTTGTCAAAATAATTATAAAAGTGCCTTTAAATACCATCATTGTCATATTCTAGAATATGACTGTTATACCGAGTGTGAATTTGCATTACTATACGACGTGTCTCGGTATTTTGTACTTCCAACATTCATGTATTTATTTTTGATGTTTGATGGTTTCGGTTGGATAATATGTTATGTCTTATCGTTTGTAGTCCAACTAATTATAAAATTGCCTTTCAATACCATCATTGTCATGAAAATTGTTTGGACGAGTAATGTGCAAATAAGTGTATGAAGTTATAGATTGCATGTTAGTTACGTAAACGCGTCATTGTTTGTGATATCCTGTGGTGTTTGTCGTTGATAGAATATGTTCGTTGTTGTTCTGTGGTTTGCATGTTGTGGCGACTATTATATTATTTGTTTGTGCGTTTCTCTATGATGAATGTTCTTGCGTGTGTGTATGCTGTATTTCTGTCACGTAGTGTTGCCATTTTAGCGATAGTTTTTAACATTGTCATCAGGCGGGAGGTTTGGCTAGCCATTAAACCAGGTTCAACCGACCATTTTTCTTAAAATGTCCTGTACCAAGTCAGGAATATGGCAGTTGTTATCAAATAGTTCGTTTCATTGTATGTTGGCGTTTGTTTTTGTTGCACTTCAGTTTTCCTGTTGTTCCTTTGTTTTCCTCTTATAGTTGATGTGTTTCCCTCGGTTTTAGTTTGTAACCCGGATTTGTTTTTCCTCAATCGATTTATGAATTTTGGACACCGGTATACCACTGTTGCATTTATTTCAAACGAAGAATCCTACGCGTACAACAAGGCAACAAATGATTGCACAAAGGGTGAGAAAATTGTTAACATTGTTTGCATACTGGTTAACAACAATATTACCAGTGGTTATTACGTGAACGGATTGCAATAATTCACCGTCTACAGTTTCTTACTGGACGTCTCACCGGTGTTAAAACTCCCCCTTTTAAATTCCCATGCACGCTTTATTTTGCTGCTTTTAATTCAAGAAATGAAAACCATTGATAAAATTATATTGATTATTCGGTTCGATCTACTTAGACAACTAATTCAAATTCGTAGTGCTTGTTCTCAGTCTTTTTCAATATCCTCATCCCAACAATTTAGAGTCTGGATTTCCTCGTCTTCGACATTGCATCTACTTAATGGTTCATTTTTTCACACGCCGTGGCCTTAATCTCTTTTCCTCGCCTAACCTATGGTACATTTTTCACATAAATTCCATTTTCCGTTGTACACCTTGGTAATTAAAATCCTGTATGTTTTGGTTAGAACATTACACAATGTGTTGGAATGAAATTCTCAGTCGGGCTTCTATTTAAACCTCGGCTCTTTTTTACAGTTGCACATTACTTTTTCCACAACCATCACAGCTCTACCAAAACCTACACATTTATGGGGCTGCACTTCCTCTTTCTTTTTCAGATAAAGGAATGATAATACCGGAAATTCAATCAAAATTAAACTCCTCATTTTTCTCTTCCCACTTTATCTTTTCTATTCTTTCCATCATACTTATTCGAGATTTCATGTCTTTATTGTTGTTCCCATTTTATAAAGTAAAAAAAAAAATTCACTTTTTTCCTTCTCCGGTCTGACCTTTTTCCCCTTCGGGTTAGACTGATTCGTAAACGCTTTGGATCATTTTCACTTTCTTCCAAGTATGTTTACAGGATTGAATAACCTTTAATTCCTCTCATTCCTTTACTGATTGGTTATCTTTTAATTCCTCCCATTTTACCGGGAAAGAATGTGGTATCAATTCTATACAACTTATACATTTTTATTAAGGTTTTGTCTTTTTGAATTCATAATGTAAAATGAAAAATTGCCAAAAACAAAATGTCATATAACATTTAAAGACTGGTAGTTTTCCAGATATCTTCTTTTCCTTTTTTTAGGCCAGAGCTTCAACAACTTTTTAGACAGATAGGGAAGATCAGTGCAGCAGAAGCACTTAAAGAACATGATATCATAAAAAAGGACTTAAGAAATCTTATCGAACAAAAAAATTTTGAGATCCTTGAATTAGAAAATGCAAAGGCGACTTTAGAAATTCGACTTAACGCTGTTGCAGAGAACACTGAAGAAAAAAAGAAAATGCAAGGGGAAATTATAAGATTAGAGAATGATATTAAGAAAAAGAAAAAAGATTTGGTATCCCTTAACAAAAAAACTGCAGACAGAGAAAACACTGTCGAATAAAAAGGAGGAAGAAGTGGCAAAATTGAAGAAGGAAAACGTAGAATTGAAAATAACCAACAATGATTTAAAAGTAGAAGCGCAACAAGCTAGGTCTGCAAAAAACATTGCACTTCATAAACTGAAGGAGTTTCAGAATGACAAATAGAATGACCACGAAAAAATTTCGGAAGTTAAGATACAAGTGATTGAGAACAAAAGCATCTGCTTGTCCATTATAATTCAGGTTTAATGTAAACCTATAGACTCTTTATTGATATGACAATATTTATATTTATTTATTTACTAATAACATTTGTAGAGCTGTTTGAATATGAATTCTTCAAAACTATTAAACATATACTTGTCTTGGTCAAAAAAGATAACAATATTAAAAGCAACTACGTCGTATTCTTGATACTAGTATTTTGATTCTTCTAAGTTACAGAACCATTTTTGCGTAGAACAAACAAGCTAAATATTCATCAGTATGTTCTTAGCAGTTAAAACTCGATGCCCTGCTGTATTTACTTAATAATAATTTTTCTTAGAATCTATGTAAGTTTTTCTTAGAATCTAAGTAAGTAACGGAGTGATTTAATTGGCAATTAGGACAAAATCAGAATGTTTTAACAATTGCATAGTTGTTTGAGCGTTCCTGGTTAAGGTAAATCCAGAAAAGCAGTAAATCAAGTGGGCCTTTTCTAGCACTAGGTCGATAACCCGAGGATATCCTCAGCTCAGTAGTCAGTGTTTCTGTCCTGACATGATTTCTTACAAATTTTTCGTTAATTCTGCGTTGGTAATAAAACGTGTTGTATATCTAATTTTCGTTATCAATAAGGGTTGCTAGTTCAGAGTCTGGTATCTCTATCATTCTGAGTATTCCCGAGAAATTAAACATAAACAGTTAAAGATTGTTTACTGAAGAATTTTTTGTTGATTTTTGTAGCTGGAACAAAAGAAAACTACGACTTCAGTTTTTACTAATCGTCTCTGCAAGGAGCAAAGAGCTAACTTTATTTCACAGCAGGGCAATTTTCAAAAAGTCTTTCAATCTTTTACTTAAAATCATATATTATATCACAGCATAATATCCCGGTTAGTACTTTAGTAATCTCGCTATTTTGGTAGATTTTGGCAAATTTTGAGTATTTATCCCAAAATGTAGAAAAAGAATATCCAAAACCAAAATTCTGTTTGATGTCATGACAAGTTAAAATTTGTATTTCTAATACAAAATTATTCATTTTGGTTAGCGCCGTCATTCGATTCAAAATTTGACAAAAACATTTCCTCAATTGAATTGTTTCATATTTTTCATGTCGGGGCCTTTTATAGCCAGCTATACGGTATGGATTTTTTCTTATTGTTAAAGGCCGTACTGTTGCCTTTAATTGCTTACATCCACTTCATTTGAACTTTGGTGGATAGTTGTCTCATTTTCAATCAAACACATCTTATTTTTATAATGTTTCAGTTTTGTCTCAAACACCCATATATAGACCTGAATCACATTTTGAGTTATGGAAATATGTAAAATCGTTATTCAGATATTTTAAGTATATTATATAGACTCTTTAACTTTCAATTTCCAGTAGGATTGGACAACTTTTTAAATGGAAAAAAAACAGGGTAAATTGGTCCATCCTTTTTTTAACGTCGACAACTGAAATTTAGTTAAATTATAAAAATACGAATTTAAAAACTTCAAAAGTCATCAGTTATTGACAAACTTCCGTATAAATAATCTTTGTAGCATTAGGCCGATAAAAAGATATAGAGATCTTCGAAAATTATTCAAAGTTGTATTGATTTTGGAAGAACTTTTGGTAAAGAAGACAAACTTGCTTTGCTTGGAATAGCAAAACTTAATTCTCTGATTGTGCAATTTTATCCTTTCATCTACTGAGTTCTGATTCCAAGACCTCTCATGAAGTTGAGATATTTTATTGTGAAACAATTGGAATCTGATTTTCCAAAACGTTTACGTCTGTCAGTGAAGGACAAAGCTGAGACGCTCGACTCCGAATACCAACGGACAGCATCATGTGCTCAATAAAAATAATCGTCGAAGGTCTCTTCTGAAAACAAACTTCTGTAAATATTTTAGCATCTCCTTCGCATATTATTTTTTTATATATAGTTATCATGATATGAGGAATGATGTGATGATGTTGTGATACGTAACCAGTCTTGCCGTTGGTTTTTCTCGGTTGAATTGTTTTACATTTTGTCATGTCGGAACCTTTTATAGTTACTATATGGAATTGATTGTGATCATTGTTAAAGGTTAAACGATGACCAATAGTTGCTTACATCCACGTCATTTTGTATCTGGTGGAAAGTTGTATCACTTGTTTTTTTTGGGGTTTTTTTTTTTTATCGAGAGAAATCGGCCTCTATGGTTACGTGATTTTAGGTAACATTACTATTTGTAATTTCTTTTTCCCCAAGTGAAAACCATATTATTGAATCTGTTATCCTTGTTGTCGTTTTATTGATGGATTTTCAATAACCTTATAGACTTTAAATTATTCAAATAATTGCATCATGCTCTATCACTTGTTTTTCTATCCCACTATATTTTTCATATGAATGAATTAAAAACTTACGTATCCAAACCATGACACACAATTTTCATAAATATTAAAGACGTTATTTTTTTCAGAATATTTAAAAGCAATTGTGAATTATAACAACCCGCATAAAAAGATTTTTTTTATTTGTGAAAAACAATAACCCGACTTAAATAATTGTCGTGTACGCAAGCGTTCTATGTTTTATATTATTTTCTTTATAAAACAAAATTTGCATTTACAAACATAATAGCTGTAAACAAAGCTACTTACCAGTCGAAATGTATCTTCATAACTTCTTTCGGTAAAAAATCCAATGTTTACATTTTGTATTTGTTAGTCATCCATTCAGAAACATTGAACCAAATCATGACCAACTATGACAAATATCGCTGTACTAAACGCTTCTCGATATGACGACGTAATACTCGTGAACTTGTATTTCATCTGATTATTTGTTTTAATATAGAGATGAGGGTTGGGGGTTGGCTTACTATATAATGAAAGGTAGGGATTATGCGCTTGAATAGGTAACTTTTTCAAGCTTAATTAATCTATGAAAGGATCGAGAAATTAAAATGAAATATATGATAAGGTTGCTGATTAAATCATTATTCACAGTTGTGATTCAAACAATAATCGTAAATGCATCAGATATATTATCCCTTCATGAAATAGCGTAACCATGACAACTATTTATGTTTCTATTGTCTACTGTTGAAAACTGTATGTTTAATTGCCTCTCCTTAAATCCATATCCAAAGGTATTAGACAACTTAGATCAGATGAGTCAACGTCTTCCTGTCAACTTATTTATGTCCATATAATTTGCTGTCCGTGGCGCCAATTACCCATGCAAGTTTTAGTTGATTATTTGGGTTAAATGATAACAACAGAGGCTACGTATCTATACATCCAAAATGAATAGCACTGTTCGATTTGAACTGGTATAGTTCTAAATTTCCAAAGTTGATGAAGGTTAAGTAATTACAACAGAGGATTCGTATTTATACATCCCAAATAGATAGCACTGTGCAATTTGAACCGATATAAGTCTAGAATTTCAGAGTTGACGAAGGTAAAGGAGTTGCAACAGATAAAATTGAGAATGGAAATGGGGAATGTGTCAAAGAGACAACAACCCGATCAAAGAGCAGAACACAACCCAAGGTCAACAATGGATCTTCAACACAGCGATAAAATCCCGTACCCGGAGGCAGGCTTCAGCTGGCCCCTAAACAAAAATGTGTATTAGTTCAGTGAAAATGAATGTTCAGAGACTGTTTAGCTATACAACCCAAATGAATGGCACTGCGCGATTAGAACTTAACCTTTTCGTTGATCCTAATTGGTTCCAACGTTTTTAATTTTCTTATCCAAAATCTTTCCCGAGTGATTTTCTCCTCCCCAGACCAAGCAGTTTTGTGGTCAATAATGGTAATAGTCAGTCGTTTGAGAGCTGCCTTAGTGTGGCCAGGGTATCTCAAATGTCGACTGAGAGGAAGATCTGGCTTACATTCATAGTCACTACGATGACCTTTCATACGTTTGTGAAAAGGCTGTTCTGACTCACCAACATACTTTTTTACCACATTTACACTGTAAGAGAAACACAGTATACGTAGTTTTGCAAGTAACATTGTAAATTATGAGTAGTGTCAAAATGAGAGTTCTGCCACACTTGCCATTTTTAAGCACAAATCCTGCATACGGACCCCAACCCTAAACTTGAAATGCAAACACAATGCGTTCCAATTAGCCTTAGGGTAGAAACAAAATATGGCTTTCGTATACAAAAGATGGAGGAACTCAGAAGTCCAAAAATCGTAGACAACGATTTTATCAACGATAATGTTTTAGAGGAAAAGGCAAAGGACCAGACCCTGGAAACCCTGAAATGGAAGGAACTCCCAATCTTGGTGATCTATAAAATCCTGGAAGTGGTAGAAGTAGATTGGAAGTTTGGGAGGAGTAAGATCCTCACCTTGAAAAACAGAGAAGGAGAAACGACAAGGGTGTGGGCCTGCAGTGAACTAAACAAAAAGAAGGAACCCTTGGAAGGAGCCTTCATGAGAAGTACAGGCTTAAAAGTTAGTAAAAAGACCAAACAGGAGTACTTTTCTTGCGACCTTGTAAGAAATAAATTAAAAAAAAAAATGGGGTGGGTGGGGTACAAAACATTTTCCAATCCGACATTTCTGCCGGATTGGAAAGTTTTTTTTTATGTTTGAAACGTCACACATCGTTCCGTTACGCTTCACTGCATACATCGTTTCGTCACACATCGTTCCGTTACGCTTCACTGCATACATCGTTTCGTCACACATCGTTCCGTTACGCTTCACTGCATACATCGATTCGTCACACATACTTCCGTTACGCTTCACTGCATGCATCGTTTCACGATGTGTACCGTTCCGCTTCACTTCACGATGTGCTCCGTTTCAAACATATGTCAGTGTGAAGGCTCTAGACGCTGGGATGTAGCATGCGTATGCGATTTCGATCTACCGTGTCTGTGGGAAAAAAGGGAACTAGCTTCGGAACTGCTGGACGAGGAACGTCTGTCTTACTATAGCACAGCCCCACCAGAGGAACGAAATATTGCTTGTTATTATATTGCGATGACCGACTCATGTACATAAGACCACCTTTAGATGCAAAGCCTGGAAAGTCTTACGAGGCAGTAGAATCCAGTGACGATTATGGCGAATACACACTGTGGGTCGGTGGGTCGGCAGCTTTGCCTTGGGTATTTTGTGCTACGAACACCAGGAGGAATATACAGCAAAATTTCTAGCGTCCGACGGATCCATCGATAGCAAATTGGTCGAAGCTG